CTCTATCCTTCCCTTAGTTTTCTTTTTTTTTTTTTTGAGACAGAGTCTCAGTTGCCCTCAGTAGAATGCTGTGGCCTCATAGCTCACAGCAACTTCAAACTCCTGGACTCAAGTGATTCTCTGGTCTCAGCTTCCCAAGTAGCTGGGACAACAGGCACCCACCACAACTCCTGACTAGTTTTAGAGATGGGGTCTCACTCTTCCTCAGGCTGGTCTCGAGCCAACGCAATCGGCCCGTCTCGGCCTCCCAAAGTACTAGGATTATAGGTGTGAACCACTGCACTCAGCCTAACACCCGGCTATTTTTAGAGACGAGGTCTCACTGTAGTTCAGGCTGGTCTCAAACTCCTGAGATCAGGCAATCCACCTGCCTCAGCCTCCCAGAGTGCTAGGATTACAAGCCTGAGCCACCTTGCCTGGCCCTGGCTATATTAATCTTGGTAATTTTTTTCTTCTTTTAGAAACTCCAGTCATATGACACTTCATTTAGCTTATTCTTTCTTTTAAAAGAAGAAAGTTTTAATATTGCTTAATATGCCGGAAATGCCAAGCAGAAAATAACTAGTATATTCACACCTAGCTTTAGGTGGTAGATTTGCCTCTTACCAAAGCCATTGATCTATGAGAGTAATAATGATGATTCTGAAGACTATGACCGACTATTTTATTTATGCTGAATCCTTGTAAGGAAATTTCTTAACCTTATGCCTAACCCTAACCCAGATTCTCCATGCTGAGGTTTAACCTATACCGAAGTAGTTCTGAAGAAACTGGGAGGGCAGTATAATTCTACAATGGATTAGGGGAGCTCTGAAGTCCACATTTCTGCAGATTATTGACACACAGCTGCCTTCTTTGACTAGTGTAGGTATGGGCCTTCCTGGAAACAAAAGGATAAATGAAATGAAACTTCAATACAACTATGTAGTTTCTTGTTGACACCCAAGTTGTTTATAGAGTATATATATCACTGTTTGAGGAAAGATTTCCTGGTTTGTCGCCTAAGCATTGGATCTTGCTTTGTCCTTGTCTTCATTCGGAATAAAGAATGAAATTGTGTCCTGATGCCACCCAGGACTCACATCACATCACCATCTTTGGGCTGAGGAACAGATGTCTCGTTTTGGACATTGATTTTGGGAATTGACAAAAACTGGAATGCTTGTTTGGCAGTCTTACATTTTTTCTTTAATTCAGTTAGCACATACTAGTGGATTTAGTAATACTCTTTTAAAAAAAAACTATTAACTGCAAATCTGCTTCTTATTCTAAGAGGTAGATCATTAACTTGTAAATGTTGCTGTTTGAAAGAGGGGAATACTAATGAAACTAGTATAAACATTGCCCAAAAGAATGAATTTATCATACTGGGTCCCAGTATTTAATCCCTGCCATTTGAAAAAAAAAAGGAAAGTTACCTGCAGAAAGCCTGGTGATGAAGAATATTTTAGTGGTCATAATACTAAATGTGTAATGAGTGACATAGTATATTGTCACCTGTGTACTGTGTTATCAAATTAAACTGAGAATGGCGTAATTGATAATAAGGAACTTCTGATTTAGAAGCACCAAATATATAGACAATTTCCAGGGAATGAAAAGCAGTAGGAAATCAGAGCCTCTCAGGAAACTTTAGGGAAGTTAGAGCTTCCAGACAAGTAGAGGGTCTGGTTTTTTCCTACCAGAGTTACCAAGCAGTCACCAGGGACCTTTTCTTTGTGGAACATCACCCTGAGAGACTGTGTACCCTTTGTATCACATTTCCCCTATTTAACCCCAAATTCTTTTTTTTTTGAGACAGAGCCTCAAGCTGTCACCTTGGGGAGAGTGCCATGGCATCACAGCTCAACCTCTAACTCCTGGGCTCAAGCAATTCTCCTGCCTCC